CTAGCCTCTGTACAATCACCTGCTGCTCTTCCTTCGCTGTCGCTCCAACTGCCTCTCGCCTTCCTTCCTGCACTTGTCCGCTTCTCTGTGGTCCTGGTTGGCCTGCCCTTTGTGCCTGGGATGTATCGGCTACCACTTTTTGAGCATAAGTTTGGGGATTCCCCCTTTGGGTCTGTTTGACATCCGCATACGAACACCGATTCTGCACACACAGTTTCAACATTTGTGCTTCCTGCCGATATAGTGGACACTTTGTAAACTTACTGCTGTGGTCCCCGTGACAACGGATACACCGTTCTCCTGTTTGCATACAAGTGACTGGGTCATGGTCCTCCCCACACCGTGGACACCAACGTCTCCCCCGACAAAACTTTTGCCGAGTGCCCGAAAGATAAGCAGCGGTCACATTGCCTCGGCCGCGGGATGTATCTTTCACATGGGAAACGTTGGTAGTACAGTTTTACTGCTGTTATCGGTACCACACTCACTACCGAGAAGAAAACCGTCTGGCTTGGCTGGCGAACTTCGCCGTCCCTGCGCGTGAATCTGCAGACCTATATAACCGGATGCCCGGCCTTCCTTAAAGCCTCCAAAATATCTTCGACCGCTATGGAAGTATCTACCCCGTTAATTAGGTAGTCCATCTGAGCACTATCCGACGCCAACCGCTCCCGAACAGAGGACCTTGCCAAGTCCGTAATCCGTAGCGCACCCTCTATTCCCTTCCTGTCCCTTGACTTTACTATCAAGAAATCGCTCCTCGCGTACCGAACATCCGTCAGAGACTCCGGTCTTGGAAAGTGCGGTTTCAGTGCCTGGTACACTTCCGCCTGCAGGAGCCGCCTAAGGGGAGAAACCCCCTCCAAAAACACCACGTAGACATGGTCCTTTGTTCTGGAATTTATCCAACTCGGATAACCCGGAAGTGAACCGTCTCTCGGCATTGCCCCGACTCTGCCGGGTTCAATGCCTCCCCCGGTAGTTAAACTACCTCCACCGTTGTAGAATATGCTACAATACCTCCTACCTGTTCCATTGACTCTCAACCCTGGGATACTTCCAGACTAGTCTACACTCCACTCGCTCCTCTCTCACTCTTCACCTCAATAGCATTCCGAAACTTTCCACTCTAAACGTCGTTCGCACGAACCAATTCGATACTTCTTGACAAAACTCTCTTCCAACCAACTTCACTTAATATAATCTTAACCAAGTGAAACGGGTTTTCCCCACGCTGTGAATGTCTGCCTAGTGCAGTTCAGCCACAATCCGCTACAGTTCGCCTTTATTATCAGTTTGAAATGGAGGGGTTCCATAATACCACCTTCTCCCTATAATAAAGACAGAAATTTTTCCATTTCAATGAGAGATGAAAGTAACTGAAAAGTTGTAAATTTTGGAAATTTTCGTGGACACCTGGTCCTAAAACGAATTAGTTAGAAAACAAACGACGGACAATCTATTAATTAAGTTTAATATATTTAGATTTTTACAACTATGGTAAAAAACGTTTAAAATTTACAACAACCCTGTGATGCGACAAAACTTGCATTTGACATTGATCAGTATCGGCACCCTCGGAATTTGGCAGCCTGCGTGCAAGCACGCACCGCACACCTACCAGGACCGTCTCTAATTCTATCCGTTAGAAGAAAGAAAGATGATTTTATGTTATGTTTATGTACGTTTGTTTACAAAGCTATATTTAATTGTAATTTTCTTTAAAAGTATATTCATATACCGTAATTGAAGAATGTTTTGTACCAGGTTTATGTATATTAACCGCACATTTTATTTCACCGAGTAAGTTTTTATAATTTTATTTTTAAATACTTCAACAAAAAAATTTGTTCGACATTTTCACGATAAAATTTATGAAGACATAAAATGACTTTGTGGATGTATAGAAATGCAAAAATTGTTTAGTTGACTTTGCCTACTATTTTCAAATGAAATTAGTGTGTGGAACAATGGCTTTGACGATTTAACTGCTTGCCCCTGGAAGTCAACTTCTTACAAAAACGCAGCTTCCCTATCATCAAATGTCACCGCACACCACTGAAGATTAGTACACAAGCAAATCCTGGTGGAGGAAAAGTCTGTATTCTGTCGTGAGATTTCATATTCTGAAGGATTTTCTACTTCCATTCGATTACGAGAACATTTGGAGAAAGTGCAGTACATGGATTTGCTCGTGAATTCAAAAATATGAAGGCTAAGTAAATTCTGTTCTGAAATTTTCAAAATGTTGTATTTAATTAATTTATCTTAAAATACAGTAGAGCGTCGATTTTCCGAATCAATTGGGGACTGGGGTTGTCCGGATAACTGATATTTCGGATAACTGATTTACGTTCGAAAAAATTGTTTAACGTATCCGATGTCGAAATTTTTCTCCGTTGCGTGTCACTTCGCGTTGAATTTTCGTCGATGTTAAGCCTAACAAAGACTATTGTATCGTTAAAAATTATTTTTTTTTATTTTGTACAAACAAAATAAATGTATTGAAAAATATAAAAATAATAAAAAAATTATACTTCAGATGTTAATTTAGTATCAAAAACGTAAAATACTTGAGTAGCCCAAGACATAGCCAAAGATTCAAGCGCCACAGCACTGGCGAAAATTAAAATTTGCCAACTGGAATTCTTTTGGATGATTGACGTTCCGGATGATTGACTTTCGGAAAATTGACGCTTTACTGTAATTGTTTTCATGAATATTAACAGCTCATTCAGTAGTAAATAAAATATTATGTAATTGTAAAAAAAATATGTATATTATGTACTGTAATTGTAAAATAGTATTAAAAATATTATGTATTTGACAGATTTCTACGAATGGAAAGCCACAGAGGAATTGAGAACCAACTAAAGTTAACTGTGTCTTACTGTCTAAAAAATGAGGGAATTGATAAATTCTACTCGTGCGGCTCTGGCACATAAGATCGTGACTACACTCAGTTCAGAAATGTACGTATAAAAAGAAAGCATACAGTAACAGATTGTCTATATGAAAATGTATAATTTTTAATAAATCTTTTTTATAATGAAATCATCTTCCTTATGACTAGCTTTACTGTTTTTTCTTAGCTACCATTCAAATAAATCATCGCAGATCTGTTAAATGAGAATTGTTTTTTTTTCCTCTTTCCACCCTGTGGTTACCAAGAGAGCCTCTTAATTTAAAGCAGGCCCATTACGGGTTCGGCCAGGCCCACGATGGGGTGACCGGGTAGTGAGGGACGGGGCTAGCCATATCCCTCACTACCCGGTGAGGGATATGGCTAGCTCATATCCAAATGGACCACTCCCGAAATTTTCTTGTGGATTTCTTGACTTGTCCGGATTCGATCCCGGGTCCCACAGAGCTATTCGCGTTTTTCACCGGATGCTCGCCCTCTGGTGTTTAAAAACAGAACTACTCTATCTGGGTCGTTTGAATGTTCTTCGTATATTGTCAACAGTAAAGATGAATAGTAAAAGTAAAAGTAAAGCTTTCTGTTGTGTTCCAAATTGTAATTCCAAAGCCATACGCGATCCCGATATAAGTTTTCATGTATTCCCACATGAAAAACAGATGATTTTTCGTAAATCAGAATTCGGAGAATCTCAGAAATGTAACCGACGGAAAGAGTGGATTCGACTGCTAAGAATTGGCAAAAAAGTTACGAAGTATATGGTAGTATGTTCGAAACATTTTACTCCTGAAGATTATATTTTGTCATGTATGCTATCATGTTTTTATAAATATGTTTAGATTATTGTAATTCGATAGTATTAAAAAATCAAACTGAAAAAGATTGCATAGAGTCTAAGTATAAAGTAATTTAGTATTTGTATTCGTTTTTAACCTATACTATAGGATTATCTTCAATAAAATGTAATTCTATTCAATTTTATATGATATGTCGATAAACTTTAAAATTCCAGTAATTTTGTGTGGGATAGAAGTCAATGCTGATGTTTGCAGACAAAGAGCACAAAAATGTACAGAACGATCTTGCTCGTTTTTCTCGATAATACCACATAAAATGACGTGTCCTGCTAGTAATACTTGTTCTCCTTCTATAAAATTTCTCGATGAACTGCTACAAGTAGCATATTTCATTACATCAGATAGTAATATATAATTCATTTTACACTGACGACTAACAAACGACCCAGATAGAGTAGCCATTTTGTAAAAATACAGCGCCCTCTATAGTTCGTGAAAAACGCGAATAGGCTTTCACCTTGACCGTTCGGCCATCCGGCCTTGTGAAATGAGACTATAAAAAGTTGGCCATTCAAGAAACGAACAGTAGCAAATTTTGTGTGTAATAAACTAACTCTGTGCTTTCTGTTTCACTTATATTTTTTTAATTCGACAATGATAAAACAAAATGTCAACGCCCTTATTCACTTTCTAACCATACCGACTGCGTTCCTTCACGTGATTTAGTGACGTCACAACCGACGTAAATTAGAATTACAGTAGACCCCCTATAACACTATTGATAATTCCGTATTATATGAATTCCATGTTGTATCAGTCACTTAGATTTTACAAATACGTGAGCCGTTCACAGCCCGGCACACGTATTTGTAAAATCTAAGTGACTCGTATAACATGGATTTCATATAATAAGGAATTATCAACAGTGTTATAGAGAGGTATACATTATGCTTGTCTTTATCTTCTGATGTCACGAAGTAGCGACATCTCGTGGTAAAAAATAGAACTACGGCTACGGAATCGTTCTGTAATTAGCCACCAGCCATTCAAAGACCGAACCACCCTTTCTACCCACGTGTTATATTCCGGTTGCCACCTGTCGGTAGAAATTTAATTTTGAATATATAAAAATTATTTTAATTTTTATTTAATTTAATTTTATTACTGCAGTTTATAATTAAAATACGAAAACATCGAAATTAAATTATTAAAGCGTAAGATTTACTTTATATTTTTTAATATTTATTCGAAAATGACGATAAAATAGTAAATAACAAGTCAAAATCGCGCCTCTAGCGGCTAAATCGGTTGTCATGGTAATAACAATGGCGGAGAGTAGAGAAGATGTTGACAACAAGATCGGCTTAGGTTGCGCTTTAGAGAAGTTCGAGGAATACGTTGAAATAAACGAAATAATCGAGAAATTACCGGAAATTTACACGGATACGATCACATCCGAGTTATCTTACGAGCGATTCGTTTATATCCTCGACTTATATCAGGAGCAGCCTTACTTGCTGTATCCTTACTTGGATCAACTCCTTTATAAATTACTTTCTTACTCTAAAAAGGATACATGCGACGAATTGAAGCATCTGGCCTTTAAATTGCTTTATGTCATTGTTAAAGTCGGTCATCACAAATTACTGGTCAAGTATTTCCCGCACGAGGTATGATAATGTACCTTTGTTACGTCATTACAGTGTTTATTTATTAAAGTAATCGAGTTTTTACTGATTTTTTGTGTATTTAAATGCGGTATATCCGGCCCTGTTCGATTACAATGCTCTCTAAGTTGTCTCGATGATTCATATGGTGTGACGAGCTGTGTTTGTGTGATTAGACAGGATTTTCTATGTACACATTAGGTGTTTCGTGTTGCGTTAAATGCGCGTTAGCAGCGTACACACCGCGCGTTAGCTCAGCGTTCGACGACTGTTTAGTGGAGCGTGAGCACTGGCTCAGTTTGGAAATGGACGTGAAAGTAATTGCTCGTGTGTGCCTCCTCCATCAGCACACGCAAGCAATTACTCGATGGCAGAGGCAAAGAGAATTTTGGGTGCACCCAATATTACGAGATAGACTGATGCGTGGAATGTTTGTGACGTTGTATCCAAAACAAAGAAAATGTGAACCCAAATTTTTTAATTCTTTTAGAATATCTATAAAATCATTTGACGATGGCTGGTCTCTTTTAGATTTCATCAATAAATAGATCAGTATTGAAATGATCGTTCTCCAATTTGCCCAACGTATGTCCACTCTACCCGAAAGCGCGCGATCGAATGTACAACAACATGACAGCACATATATCTCAAAACGTGTGGCAATGCTCGTAAAATGCACGTTTTAACAAAAATCTATCAATGCGCGTTTGACCAAAAGCACGCGCTTGAGTATGTATGCCTATGCAGAACTTCTTGATTCTTTAAAACGTGTGTTACCAAAACGCGCCTTTAAAAATGCCTAATGTGTATACAGCCTTAGCATCTGTGACATGAGAACTCTGAATGAAGGGGTTTCCGTCTTTGTTGTACGAGCAATAAAGTTGATTGGACCGTATCTGTATGTGCAATAATCTTGAAAAGTCAGTTTATACTGTGAACCAACATACTGCTTATTCTCTGCATGCAGTTGTGCACCTCAATGCCTACATGAGGTAATCTTCACACTCCCCTAAAACTATATAACATCTAGTACTCTACAAATGGTTGAGTGGGCTAATTGAAGCTGTTACGTGCTATAGTCTTACAGGAATGATGTCACTTCCAATTGCATGTGATGTGGAAGTAGGCGATATCTTGCCAGGGTCACGTGTCGGGGTATGGTTCCTTTGACTTTTTTGCTCCTGTGTATGGTATCCTGACTATCTTATTTGGAGGTGTAATTGTACTTTAAAACCTGCTCTTGCACTGCCAAATGACTCACAAAATCAATAAATGTAAGGCCTATACAGATTTTAGCATATACTATAAAATATCAGTTGAGCCCTAGTTGAGCATTGTAATGTGCGTAGTAGTGTATACATAATGCTCGAGTGTAACAAAATCCACTAGGTACTCTGTTTCTGTAAAGGTCCTGGCTCAGATACCATCATTGCAGACAGCTCTCATTCCAAGAAGTAGTACCATTTTCCTATTTTTTCTTTACAGCTCTATTGTTGGCTTACCAGTTCTATTATGGTTTGGAATTCAGCTTGATGACAGTAAAAGGGGACTTCAATTGGGCAGCACCAAAGTAAAAAGTGGTCTGCTTCAGGTGCTGTTACATTACAGAAAAATTCTGTATGGTCTGTGTGTGATTTAAAGAGGGGGGAATTTTGAAACAGTATTTAAAATTTAGTCTTTCTTATAGAAGATAACAGCAGTGTTTGTATGACTTAGATATGTTACCAACATGGGTGTATTGATTGCAAAAATGCAGCAATGAATGGAAGTAATGTAGATATATGTAAGAATTATAGAATGTGTTGATAGGAGCAAAATAAATAATTATAATTATAGAAAACAACCACTCACAACTGAGTAAACTTGATAAAAGCAGCAACCGAAATCAAAATCCAGAAGAAGAAGTAACAGAGCCGACATCTCCTGTTAAACGAGCATCCTCAGGATAAATGACCCTGTAGCTAGTGAAAACGTGGGTAAAAACATCAGCTCTGTTACTTTTGTTGTTGGTTTTTGATTTTGGTTGCTGCTTTTAAAAAGAATTATAGGTTTATGTATGACTTATTGTAATGCAGATATTATAGCATCTCTTTTGGCTATATTTGGTTCAATCTAGGAAATTTTATGAGGAACTACTGTAGCACTTGTAGCTCTTGTAGAATATTAAGTCTCCAGCAGAGAGAAAATCCAATAGAAAAATGTCATTCTTTCGAATAGATTTAATACTAAGATTCAAAATTTTGAATAATAACTATAATTACTTTTCATTCATTCTTATAAAAAATATTATCACTATTCTGATTTTTAATAACGAGTAATGCCACTTATCACAACTCTACTGTTCTAGTCCCCAAACAATCTCCGTTAAAATCCAGCGACATGAACATCAATACGTAAGCCAAACTGAAGTTTAAAATTAACAAATTCAACAACTTAAAACAATGTAGATAACAAATTTATATAAAATTTACAATCAATAGTATAATTAATGTATTATCAAGATACCTTATGATATTTAATGCCAATTTTATACTTATTTAACAAACGGAACATAAACAAATTTACAATTCATTGAATTTCTGAGGACATGGAAATGGAAAATTCTCTCTCATTCAGATGCTCAGTAGATATCCAACAGTTTTTTGATGTTCAGAAACATCTGTATGGGAGATAATTACAAACAGGAGGTTTGCCAGTGGCCAAAACATCAAGCCCAGATATTTATAACAAAGGAAGGGAAAACCTGATAACATTAGATTGAATAAGTAACTTAGCAAGTATGGTGACTGTATTGAAGAATAAGAAACATGAATCTCTAAGCTGTTCATGTTTAAACATTGTAAAAGTAAATAAGGAAACTTAATTTCTAAAATTCTCCCGTAGAGCTACCTCCACACGTCTGAGTATCATCAGTTTAATTCTAATCATCAGGCATTATATACAATAACATTAATTTATTTTTTATTTATATAAAATTTTTAAAAATGATCTATTGTATTGTGTGTTTAGGATAAATATTAGAGCCCCAATAGTTAATACAGTTTTGTAATTTGTGCTTGGTCTCTGTATGTGTTTGTAGGTTGCCGATGTCGAACCAGTTTTGGCATTATTAGCTCAACAGAATCCATCTGATTTTAATACTTGGGAAACCAGATACATTCTTCTACTATGGCTTTCAGTTATTGTGCTGATACCGTTTCACATGGAAAGATTAGACAGCGGAATGGAAATCGACGGGATCAGATCCAAGCCGATATCACTCAGGTTCGTTACTGCTTAATAATTAAATTATTTGTTTACTTTAAGACTTTTAATTGAAAGATAATCTATCATTTAGCATAGTTTTGGGACTGAAAACTTTTAGGCTTTGCCTAGATTGTCATCATCTTAGTTGGGCCAGAATGGATGTGTGCAAATTTTGGCCAATTATTTGTTACATGCATTCACAAAACATTGGCAATGCATTGTCTGAGAAAGAGAACAGCAACACTTAAATATGTACATAAATCAATTACTTTATTTTAATCAAAAAACACAATTACAATTATTATAGATAGTAATTTGTAGAGGAGGTCTAATTCTTGTATTATTTTGTATGATTATGTAGATGATCTTGTATAAGAGGGTGCAAACCAGAATGTGTCACACTTTGTACATTATCTATTTACCATTTACTCTTCCATTTCATTCTCCATAGAAGAGGAAGTGGATGCAAAAATAGCATTCTAGAATCTCCACATGATCCTCCAGGAAACTTTTCTATTCAGTGTAGGCCTACTGCAAGTTTAATGCCATTTCTCATGTTATTCCAGCAACTTTTCAGCCTTCATATTATATCAGTTTGGCCATTTTCACCCTTATTAGAAGAGCCTTTTTACTTCCATTAACACGTGAGCTCATTGAACTCAAATTACATGATGTTTATGTTGCCATATGCAAGACTCTGCTAAATTTTATTGTGTTTCCAGGGTTAAAAATTTGCTATTTTCATCCACTACCCTACATTCTAAAAAACAATTGACTTGGGTGCAGTCACTAATTCCGTACCTTGGTTCCTCTTCTATACTCATTTACCACAACTTCAAAAGCATGGCCTTCTCCTGCCTCTCTCCTCACATCCAACTTTATGCAGGCTTTATCTGCAATGATAGGTGTAGGGAACCCGTTCCTAATCAGCGGATTCCGCCCTGTCGGTTTGTCTCACTAATTAATCAACTAGTCCAATATTTCCACAAAAAAAAACTTTATTCCGCTCTCAGGGACCACTACTTCACACTCCCTCTCCCTCTCGTGTCCCAAATTCCTCTCTCTGAAAAATTCCTTCTTCCTGTGTTTTCTTCCCCAGTCTTAACGGCCCCTCGTTAGCGTGTGTCGATGGATAGATTGCATCTGCCCTGACGAAAACCCCTGGAGAGGGAGGACGAGAAGGTCCGATATCACTACAATAGGTATAAGGTCTCCCTTTTCAAAAAATCTATATTGTATATATAGATTTTTTAAATCTATATATCTGTATTGAATTATATTGTAGCTCTTTCACACTCATGGCTTTTCTGAAGCTGATAAAGAACTACTACTGGCGAACTCTTGTCAACTGAGTAGTGGATTCCATATTTCCTACTACGATCTTCATCCGTGTATATTTCTACATCCTTTTAATGTACATCTTGTTTGTTACCATACGTCATTGTATTCACTGTATGCCAGCATCTTATCCTATACTTGCCTTGCTGGATGTATACTTCTCCCTGTATGTGGTGCATTTTGTATGTATTTTCGGTTACACCTCACTGTCATGCCAACTAGTTTGTATTATTTTTATGACTGCTGTATGTTACTTCTTACTTTGTAGGTTTATTGTAATGTACTATCTGTAATGTATCTACACCACTCACATGCTTGTATGTTTATATAGCTCTCTTTTATGTTATTAATATTTTTTATTTTATTTATTTATTTTTTTCTTTTATTCTACTGTTCATATATAAGCTTATCTTGTAATACTCTGTATAATTGTCCTGTTGTAACTGTACGTCATACCTGATTGTGCCAGTGCGGTACCGGGTCTGTACTATGTGTACTAATAAAGAAGAATACTACTACTACTATTACACTCAACAGCTGGGAAAAGTAAAAGTACATGGTACATTGGCATCACAGCCAAAATGCTGGCAAGTCATTTAGCAGAGCCACCAGCAAGCTATTACAAAATATAGATGATCTACAGAGTTGACCAAAATGTCAGAGTCCAATTTCAACTATATGTGGACCCAAACCACCCTTCTCGGGTGTTGTGTCAATTGTAAGGCATTTTTTATTATTTGGAAGCCTGCCTCACTTCCAACCATACAACATGTCTCTAGTTTAGCTCCTTAACTTGTGGATTGCATTTTTTTTTAATTTTTCAACCACAATGCCACACTATCCTGATTGTCTCATGTCATAATACATCACAGACTCGTGCCACGAAAATGTTTTGAGTGTTCTGTTGCACTTTTTGTTCCAAATTTTTGTTTTTTTTTGTAATTGTGTGTGTCAAATTCCATTGTGAATTTTAAATGTATAAATACTGATTATAAAATTAAACATTTTAATAAAGCAGTAGGTATATTAAAAGTTTTAGATCATCCCTCATTAAGAAACATCAGCTAGATCAGTGCTTGGCCTTGTACAAGATGTGCAAAATTTTTAAGTGTGCATCCAAAAATTGCCAATCTATAATACAGAATTTTCTCATGGGCCAATCAAAATTTTTGAGAACATATTATTTTGTGTCTTATTACTTACTATTACTAAACACTTGATAGTGTTTATTTCTTTACTGTACTTTATTTAGTATCTCTCTACTCAATAAAATTGTATTCTATTAAGTTAAAATATATGACTCACCCAAGCTGTTTGCTGTTTATTTTTTAAGGTGAGCCCTGTGTCGCGTGTCAATAAGTCATTTTTATGTCACGTTCAAGGGTTCTCCATCCTGGAGTAGTACATGAAAGGAAGAAGATATTAGTGCTTATCATGAGAACATGGTGACTTTAAATTATTAAAAATAAATGATACAATTGAAACAGGAGCTTAAAAATCTTTTAAAAGATGATCTACTGATGAAAAATGTTTTTTTTTTCTGAATTCATTAGCTGGTTATTCGAACAGTTTGATTCTATACTTCATAAGCTTGCTTGCATTGCCTGAACAGACATTTCCAAATGTTCATCAGTCATGGAGCCAAACATTTCTGGAAATTTCATATAAAACAGTTCCATGTGTATGAAAATTCTGCCAATTTATCGGATTGAAGACATTCTGTCATCAAATTGCTGCATTCTTTCAAATCTTCCTACAGACTTGGTTGCACAATGTATTGGGTTTTATGTCTCACTAAGAAACAGTTTGTGAATTGGACCATCCCACTCTAACAAACATAAATATCACCTTGAATGCATTCAGTTTATTTAACAGTTGATAGTATTAGGTAGTTGTCCTTAGTATGCTAGTCATAACAGTACAGGTTTTATAGGATTTGCTTAATTTTATTATAAAATTTATTGTGAAGCAAAGGTAATGATTGTACAGGTCCATTTGATCTGGGTTACGCATTCTAGGATTAATATTTCTGAATTTCTGAACTGAACTATTAATTTGGGAGTGGTGATCTTTTGCCTCTAAATCAGGGGTGGCCAACCTTTTGCATACCATGCGCCAATTTTTTGATAGACGAGTTCAGATGCGCAGTGGCGTACCGTGGGTGTTAGCTGCCCGGGGCGGAGAAAAATTTCGGCCACCCTTTAATCAGGTATTTCAATTTAAAAGATCAAAATTCAGTTGCGTGAAAAAAAAAATTAATAAAAAATGCGGTGGTGGTGTAGTTACCCGTACAAAATAGTCCCGTTTGACATTAGTGGCATACACGATTGCGAATGTACCGTGAATCGTAGAAGCAAAAAAAAAAAAAAAAAAAAAGGTCAACAGGTGTAGCAGTCCAACCGACTCGTGGACTGTCCGGACGGTAGCACTGTCATTTAGACGCCTATGCACTGATCGAAAATAAACATACATGCATACACTGTAATTTACTATGTGGAGAACACTCATTTTATCTGTAAAGTTGATTGCAACGAATTGTGCAACAAATGAACTTGCCAAGACAGACTATAAAAAATTAATTTTCTATGTAATATTCTTAATTGCAAAGAAGCCAAATCTGGCAATGTTGCTCAGAACTGACTAAAGCGCCACTTGTAATCGTCCAATGCGCCAAGTTTGGCGCATGCGCCACGGTTTGGCCACCCCTGCTCTAAATAGTACCATAAACATATCCTAGACATAAGTATCTAGATATGCAGTATCTTATATATAAATTATATTTTATTTTTCTAATATTTGACTATACATATCAGAATAATGGAAGTCATAAAACAGTATCTCAGTGTGGGTGACAAAGCGAGAGATGCCGCGGCTCTTCTTGCTTCTCGTTTTTTGACTCGTCCCGATATGAAGAAAGAATATTTACCGGAATTTCTGGACTGGGAAATCAAAGTAAGTAAATATTTGTGAAAAAATAATTGATGGATTAATTCAAAAAGTTTTCATGTATTGAATATATGGTATGCAGAAAAGTAATGAGATTTGTGTTGTAAAGCACTGTAGTTGTAACTTACCGTCAGATCAACATTATCTCTTTCAAAGTACTTTTCTTTGGTGACTACACATGGTTAGAGGCTACACTTACTCCTCGTAACAATGATAGAAGTCCTGAACTGGAATTGTCTTTATCTGATCAGTGGTGACAGTTTGGATATTGTTGACAGTTGTAAATGACAATCTTTTGGATAGAATTTGATTTTCGGAAAGAGAAAAATGTCACAGGGACTCGAATCAGGTGAATAGGGGTCTGGAGGACAACTGGAATTTTTTTTTTTTTTCAAATATTTAGTACTAAAGAGTACTGTCTGATATAGAGCAGCATCATAGTACAGCATCAACTATCAGCTTTGGACATGATGAATCTTTTTTCTTAGGCATTCTGGCACTTCACAGTAGTAGATTCATTGTCTTTTCCCATAATGTCATCCATTTTTGTCAAATGTGGTCTTTGTCTGGAGGACAACTGGAATTTTTTTTTTTTCAAATATTTAGTACTAAAGAGTACTGTCTGATATAGAGCAGCATCATAGTACAGCATCAACTATCAGCTTTGGACATGATGAATCTTTTTTCTTAGGCATTCTGGCACTTCACAGTAGTAGATTCATTGTCTTTTCCCATAATGTCATCCATTTTTGTCAAATGTGGTCTTCTCTAGTGGGATTGATTTCCCACTTTCACAACTCTGTAAATGCCTTATGCCATCTAAACACTTATACTGCAAATAGTGTCATTTGTAGGCCTGTTTTACTTTTTCATATGTTTGTGTAACATTTCCACCAAGTCTCATACAAGATTTGATTACACAACATTGTTGTAACATTACTGTTGCATTTATATATTGTAGCACTTGTGTATGAACTAGAGTAAATTGCTCTAGAGGAAAATGTTTTACTACTAATAAGTTGCAACTTTCTCCAAAGGTCAAGTAAAGGTGCTTTTTCCAGATGGTATTGGTTTCACAGCTAGTGTTTACCCTCTGCAATATGCACAGTATCTCATTACTTTTCTTAATTTAAAAATTGCTTTTTAAATATCATTAGAATTAAATTAATTTTATAAATTATAAAACGTAATTATGTTGTGTACATTATTATGTAATAATTATGTTATGTGCACTTCAATAGAAGCTAAAGGAAATAAATTCTGAAACTACTGCAGCTGCAGAGAATCTTCAAATAGGAATTCTAGCAACTTTGGCACTTTTATTCAAGCTCGGTAAACGTGAAGACATGAAACAATACGGCAAAAGCGTACTGAAAAGTATATTAGAGTGTAATTTCCAAAATAGTAAAAATGCTCTTGTTCAGAAGTTAATGTTAAAGCTTATTCAAAGAATAGGTAAGACAATAAAATATACTGAATTGATTTGAATGCCTTAACTATTAAATTGTTATCTGTAAACTTTATTATATAAAATATATTAATTTAATAAAGTAGAAATGCAATTTATAATATGACATGCAAGCTGATTTATACAGTTAAAATGTAATAAAAACACAAATTATGTGTAAGATTGAAAGAATAAATAAAAAAGTTCATTCATATTTATTTTCATTTTCAAATATACAATACAAAAATTATTAAACTGCTTATTTAATATTATAAATAGTACTTCTATCAGTAGTCAGATAGTGCTTCTTACTTTCACAGTGTCATTATTTATTCTATAATTATTTATAGAAACATGCAAAGCTTAGCACCTCCATTAAAATAAAACTACTTTTTTAACAAATGTTTCGCAGATACTAGGAATAATTTCAACTGAGTTTAGGCCATGTTCAGCTTTATAAAATTCAAATGTATAATAAGAGTGTTTGCTATGAAAAACTAGCTACCACAGGCAGCATTTTTATTTTACATTTGAATGTAAGCTGAGAAGACCACAAACTGAAATTGAAAACATTCCTTAACAAGGACCATTCAGAGAGCATGTTTTACTTGACTGCAAAGAACACAAAGAAAACATTTTGTACTTTAAAGTACTGAAATGGGTGGAACTTTGTGAGCACAAGATTAATCCTTAACTGTTGTCATGCAGTCTCATATGCTGCTCGAGATTGTTGTATGATTTATCACTTCAGTTAGTGGTTTGTTTTAGTTTTATTTGTTTATGGCAATGCAACATATGGACAATCTACTAAGGGAAAATGCCTTTTTGTAAGTCTTTTATGAGAAATTAACTCTTATTTAGGTGGTAGGAATGAGAAGAAATCTGAGAAAGGTTTATGTGGTCAGCCTACTGGCTAGGTGCAAACCCAAAACCAATTAGCAGTGTTCATCCACTGAACTGATGATGAGTTTACTGACTGGTCTTTAGGTTTAAAATTTAGACAGTCTAATAGACCAGTGGTTCTCAACTGAGGGTACACGTACCCCTAGGGGTACGAGCATAAATCGAAGGGGTACATCTAACTTTCATTATAAAATGACATATGTTAATCAATTTGCTGTAAATTAATATCACAAGAAACAAACAAGAAACAACAAAAAGTTGCTTTAAAATATCCCAGTATGAACACCGATTTCCCTTTTAACAGTCCAAACAACTTGTTTATCCACTTGATTTGCCTGTCTATTTGTACCGTTAGTGCCAAGCGAACCTGTAGTCTAGTAAAATTACGGTTTAACCGAGCATTAATTTTAGAATAGAAAAAAAATTTTTCAATTCTATAATTATTGCTCGATAACATTGAGGCTTTTCATGTTTTTACTGTACTGCTGGTATTAGAAATAACAAGGCTTGGATTGTATCCTCACCAAGCAATGTGTGTCACTGCATGCGCGCATTACTTGATATTTAGTTGGAGTTTTCTTATGACGCTCAGTTATAAGGGCTATATACATCTAACACAGTAATTATAAAATTTGCATACAAAAATATAAGGGGTACTTGAGAAACAACTAATGGGCTAATGGTGTACATCAACAAAAAAGGTTGAGAACCACTGTAATAGACCATATCATGACATGAGTGTAATATATTTTCTAGAATAGCTTCTCTTTTCAAAACTAAATCAGTTCTATATGGAAATTCAGATTTTGAGGAATGTCTTTTCTAGTGTATGTAGCATATTTTACTGCTTTAAATGACATGGAAAGTAAAGATAATAACGATAACAAAGGTTGCACATCCTCTCATAATGCTGTATATATCATATTTTATATATGTAAACATATATTCCATAGTAAATGATGAGCAGTCTGTGAGACTACAGGATGAAGAACTGCTTAGTAGTAGGCTCATTCAACTGGCAATATGTAGTCATGCATTGTTAAGAAGTAACTTAATACCTGAGCTGTAGATCTTTGTTTAAACTATACAATAACAATTATTTTTGCTCATTTTAGAATTCTCAAATTGCTGTTAAACAAGTTAAAAATCTTTTATTTTAATTATTATTTATTTCTTAATTTCAGGATTAAGTTTTATGCAAAGCAAACTGGCTGCTTGGAGATACAGTAGAGGCAGCAGGTCTTTAACTGCCAATTTGATTAGTCTAAATAAACCAGATAATTCAGGAATGTTCAATCATATCACTGAAGATGAAGAGGAGGAGGAAGATTATGACATTCCTGAAGAAATTGAAGATATTATTGAACAGTTATTAGCAGGATTACGGGCAAAACACACAATTGTCAGGTAGTTAGAATGTAGTTTAATTTATGTCTGTCATGGAAAATATTTGCTAATTCAATTTTTACATAATCAGATGGTCATCTGCGAAAGGCATTGGTCGAATAACCAGTCGTCTTCCATGGGAACTTGCTGAAGATGTTATATCTTCAGTACTAGAATTATTTTGTCTCAGAGAAAGTGATACAGCTTGGCACGGTGGCTGTCTTGCTCTAGCTGAATTAGGTAACTTGATATAATCTCTTTGTAGATTACCTAATCTTTATGTTTTAGAAAATTTCTACAAGGTTTTGTAATTACGCAGGAAGGAGAGGATTGATTATTCCTTCACTCTTAGATAAAGTAATACCTGTTGTATTGAAAGCTTTAGTTTATGATGAATTACTCGGAAATTATTCTGTTGGCGCACACATTAGAGATGCTGCATGCTACGTGTGTTGGTCTTTTGCACGTGCTTTCGAACCTGTTATATTAAAACCTTATGTTAAAGATATTGCGACTGCTCTTGTTGTTACATCTGTATTTGACAGGTAATTTAAAATAGATGACTCAGATAATTTTACAATTAATGAAATTATATCATGATTTAACTTTAAAACATGTATTTTTAATTCAGAGAAATAAATTGTCGTAGAGCAGCTTCTGCGGCTTTTCAAGAAAATGTCGGCAGGCAGGGAACTGTTCCTCATGGAATAGATATCCTCACGACTGCTGATTATTTCTCAGTTGGATCTCGTCCAAATGCTTTTTTAAATCTCAGGTAAGTTCATTCCAAATTTAAATAAGCTTATTACTATTACTATTGCCATTGTACTGTTTATTTTTTGATTTAATCTCAGGAAAATTTCAAAAGTTCATGAATATTTGAATTTTATAAACAAAAATTTCTGATCTAGTAAATAAGACAACCTTGTGATTTTCAATTACAATAGAATCTTGGTTAAGAAGTTTCCTCATTAGAAGTTTAATCTTAAAAGTCCCAGTTTTTTCCCATTAGAGAGATGAAAATTTTTGTGATGTAAAATGTTTTAATTTAAGACAATTACCCACTAAAGTAGACAGAAATTCTCCTTCACAACTGGAAAACAAGCTTGCTGAAGAAATTTTTTGACTGCATCCTGTCAGAAATGTTACTTCATACACATTTAATTGTATACGGACAAATCAAAATGTTAGGAAATGCACAAAATTTTGCGTATTGTTTTGTGTGCAATGTTGGATTACTTTGAACATGGATTAAGTGCTATTAACATATGATTTATGCTGTAAGTATTCAACAAATTATAATACAGTAGGTTATTTCTTATAGTATATAATAGTATAGATCTGTAGATTTTTTTGGGAATAATAAAATATTTCTGTTTTACATAACAAAACAGATGAAACAGGCTATATTAAATATGTATTTAAATAAATAAATATTGCATAAGCCTAATTTACCATAATGTACAAGAATATCATTAAATAAATATGAGTTATTGGATGAAAAGCTATATTATTTTCATTTTTGTTTACAGTTTTTTTTAAATTTGTGCCTGATGATATAATGGTTTTATACAAAATTATTGATTGTGTAATGTTTTATGGTATAACAGTTTTTTTTAAATTTGTCCCTTGAAAGACTTCTTAACCAAGTTCTGCTGTATTCTTTTTGTTTAAATTAAGTTTTATTTAGTGGAAGTATATTAGGTACTAAAATTCTACCATCGAAAGTTAAAATCTTGATTACAATACATTATAAATTTTGAAAATTACAAAGAAAAATAAATGCTTATTAAACCAATTTTCAGATTTATTTCCTAATAGCAATTTTAAATTGCTATTAGGAAATAAATAGGAAGTGATAAAAGTACAGATGAAACTAATGAATCTATTGTAAAAGACAGTGCAACTAACAGAAGCTATTATTATATTATATCAGTAATATAAAAGAAGCAAATAGTGCATAAACACCAAACTTGGAATTTTTATTTAATATTACACAAATATATTATGTCCTCTTAGTCCTCATCAAATTCAAGATTAAATTTATAGTATAAATAACCAAAGACATTATGGTAGAAAGGTGTATTTTTATACTTTCTATAACACCTATGACCATATATAAATAAACAACGTTACTAGAATGTCACCTGCCAAATCACTGTTGTTGTTTCAGGTGCAATAACAACCAGAAGTAATCAGACTGACTTCTGGACAATAAATGCAATTTGTTTTTATCCAGGACAATGAATGTTTTCTTAAGTTTTACCAGGATGTTGCCAACAGCTGGATGTAAAGGTCTGGATGGCAATGACGGAATTCCTGCACAGCTACCCATGTTGTTCTGTGATTGTCTTTGCACAATAAAACAAGCTTCTGCTCATTGTTTGGTGATCTACATGATTACTTCCTGTTGTTACTGCACTCGGAATAATAAGAACAGTGATTCTCCCATTTGGCAAGTGACTTTTTGACCACACTGTATATAATCTTGTAGACAAAGAGAACCAACAGCTTGAGATATATTTGTAAAAGATTAAATAAAGATTATAAGTTTGATTTTGGTTTATATCATGCCCTACTTTTGGACAGTTATTATCAATCATTCCTATTTCAATTTTGATAGAAATAGTTCTTCAACTAAAACATAATCAATGACAACTTCATACCTTATTCAAAGAAATATTTTTGAATGGAGGAGATTCTCAATACACTATAATTAATTTACATTTATAATAATTTTTGTGTGCACTTGGATTGATGAAATAAAAAATATATAGATCCCAATATAAAACAATAGATTAAATCTGCTTGTTACAATGGATTTTAGTGAAAATATGGTGTTTGAGAATATTGGCTGCAATTGTTTGTGCGTATAATATCTATCAAACAGCCTTTCAACAGTTAGTTTATACATTTGTACTCAGAAATGTAGTGTTTCTTTCCTTTGTACTTATCGTAATCATTTTTAAGAATCTTATTTGTTGATAATAGTATGTAAAATAATAATAATAATAACTAGAAATCATAAAATTTACTAATTCAGAGTTATTGTTTTCAGTGTGTACATTGCACAGTTTGAAGAATATGCTCAACCACTTATTGACCATTTACTAATATGTAAAGTTAATCATTGGGATCAAACATTAAGAGAACTTTCTTCGAAATCACTTCATAATTTAACACCTCAAGCTCCCGAATATACAATAACAAACGTTTTACCGAAACTTCTAACATTATCTCTCTCCATGGATTTAAATACAAGGCATGGAGCCATTTTAAGTGTGGGGGAAGTGATACACGCTTTATATAAATTGGCTAAAGAACAAGGGAAAACTTTAGAAGATTTTGGAAGTAAATTATATTTTAAAATATAAATATAATTTCTGGAACTATAAATAAATGATTTTTAAATTATTTTTTTATTATAGTTGAAGATTGTCTACAGAAAATCAGGGATATTATATTTATTCTGAAAGATAGAAATCTGTTTCGTGGATTGGGAGGAATATTAATGAGACAGGCCGTTTGTACTCTGATAGAAAAGGCATCCATTTCTGCATTACCTTTTCATTCGGACACCGAACTTTTAGGTACAGAACAATACATTTAAGTAATGAAAGGTAAAAGATTAAGAATAAATCTACAAAATTTTCCTATGCTCTAATTAATTTGAGTTATACAGATAATTGGCAAGAATTAATAGACAGCTGCCTTAGTCAAGTGGATGGAGATGTCAGGAAAACAGCAGTATCAGCTGTTCCTCACTTCTGTTTACAATATTACATTAATGAGGAAGCAGCAACATTGTTGCTGGATAATTATCTACAGAAACTTCATGCTGGTTCTGAAGAAGCTCGTTGTGGTCACATCTGTGCAATAGGTCATATTTTAAAACTGTATTTATAAGAGTTGATCAATAAATAATCACCCAAAATGTTATTTATTGATCCACATTTACATTAAGTTTAATTTTTTGAAACTAAAATGCAGTTTAATCTTTTATTAATAGGATTATTGCCTAAACATGTTTTAATTGGAAAGGTGAATAATGTAGTGGATAGTTTGATTCGCTGTACAAAACTACCCGAAGGAGAGGCGACGTTGGTTGAAGTTAAACGAGACGCTCTGAAGGCATTAGATAACGTGTGTCATACGATCGGTATAGAAATGCCAGGAAGTGGGGATACTATTCTGAATAGGAATCATTTGCAAACGATATACGATTGTCTCCTAGAAGCATTGAATGATTATACTTTGGACAGTAGAGGAGACGTAGGGACTATTGTTAGAGAATCAGCAATGGTCGCTATTCAGGTAAAACAAGAAAATAATCGATTAATGGTTAAGAACATGTTTTAAAATAAAATGAAATTGTTTTATGACTTTAAAATTGCATTTATTTATTTAGGACATTACTCAGTTAATAGTTGCTAAAGATCCATTGTCTCTCACTGAAAACCTCATATCTTCAATTTTCTGCGGTATTTTAAAACAATGCGTAGAGAAGATCGATAGAACGAGAGCTATTGCTGGAAAAACATTTTCTACTCTACTACATTTGTAAGTCACAAATAGAATTAAAGTATATTCATTTAATGTTAATATGTATCAGTTTGGTAAATACTAAGTTTCTCTGTGAGTAGATGAATTAAATCAACCTATACAAAAGCCAAGAATCCAGCAAAAATTTCACTTACACGAACATTTTTGTCCACATTTCATTGCACATCATCAGACTGTAGAATTTGAAATGGAGCCATTCCATTTGAATATTTGAATGCAATACATTATCCTTCATTGATTGATGGAGACATTCCCCATATATACCTATAGTTTATTGATGGTGGAGGAAAATTTCCACAGATTGGGGAATGTGTCATCATCCTTAAAATTGATTGCCTTCTTATACACATATCTAGAGATTAAAAAAAAAAACCAGGAATATAATACAATATATTTTTTACAATTGCATAGTACATAATTTTATAAATTACTTTTACAATATATTTTCTATAATAAATGTTATTGTAAAAAGTATATTGTATTATATATAAAAAAATCATTACAGCCTAATTGATATATAAACCAAGAATATGTAATTGCTCAAAATAATACTTGTATGCAACCTATAGCCTTGAAAATAATAAACATTGCACCTCAACTATATTTATTATGCTTTTATTCTAAAGAAACCAGCAGTTGGTGTCCATACACAACTTTAACTACAAGCAAGTTGCATGGCATTGAAAAGCATGAGGGACAGAGTCACCATCTGATGTATGTGATCCTTTCTTTCATTTTTTTCTCACAAAAGCTATACAAACGTGAATTATTAAGGCACTATTAATAATGGATGTTCAAAGTTATTTCTATGAAAAGGACTGACGTGCCCAAAAATATTTAAGTTCACACATATATGTACAATACAATATGCATTAAAACATCACTGCGGTGATTCAGATGTGCGTCCACATCCAGATTAAAAGTACTAATAATTTTGCCTTCACGAGACCATATTATATGGAAAACCTTATATACTGTAGAAAATATTGACTTAACACAATTTGACTTAGTGAAGTTTTACTGCAATAGTTTTAACCATCCATTAATAATTTAATAATTTAGGTCCTTGAATGTTTGATTAAATTAAGATATAGTTTATTTGTTAATATTTGTTTTATAATGCAAGCTTTTTATTACTCGATTTAACATATATCATGTAATTAATTTTGTTCATTGATTATGTTTAGTGTGCCAGAAATTCCTTACGTACCATACAGAAAGAAGCTAGAAGAAATATTTCCTAAATCACTTTGTGAAGACATAAATTGGTCATCGCCTGCTGACACCTTTCCCTATTTCGTGCAGCTGTTATCATTTGAAAAATACACTTACAACTTATTGTTGGGTTTGACCGTAAGTGTGGGAGGATTGACCGAATCGTTGGTAAGGCCAATTTTGAATTCTTATTTATTTTACTATCATAGCTGTTCAAATGGCATAGTCAACAACAGATTTTCAAATTTTAGGTAAAACATTCCTATTCTTCTCTTGCAAACTATCTTAATGGAATTAAATCCGATTGCACACATCTGAAATACATATGTGATACATTGGTACAAATTCTATCAAATAACCTCCAAAACGAACGGATAATAGTATCGTACTTTAGAATGATGGATCTTCTTCTTATGTCGGGAACTCTGATTTCGAGCGAAGAAGAGAGTGCCACTTTCCTAACAAATATCTTAGACTTGTGCTGGAAGGCCTGCTCCAAATCGACGGATCCCCAAAAGTTAATAGCTTCTGTCGACGTGTTCTGTGATCTCTTACAGTTCGAATGCATCTCCCAACGCTCTCTGAGTTACCTCGCCATATTTTTGTGTCACAGGTTTCCGAGAGTCCGCAAGGTCACGGCCAGCAAGATATACGAAGCCTTACTGTCCTACGAGAACGTCGTCCCCGAGTCTTCCTTGGACGAGGCCATGGGTATACTGAGTGAGACAAATTGGGACGATTCTGTAAATACTCTACGTCCAATCAGGAATAACTTCTGCGAACTCTGCAACATCAGCCCTCCCAAGATCGTCAAGAAAACTTAATTAATAAAGATCATCCGACTAACCTGCTTTGGTCATAATTTTCGCCACACCCATTTTAAAGATCTTGAATATTTTTATTACACATGCTAACGCTTAAATAATAGTTACTGATACTTATAAGTTTATATATTTAATTGTATTATCTGTAAAAAGATTTATTAAAAGTTACGTTCCGTAAATAAGCGGCATAAGTCTCGTATTTTCAACAGTGATACAAAGGCTAATGAAGTTCAGTGTTTATACTTCTGCAAGACCTGAAAAGGGATTCATTTGTATTGTTCTTCAGTATATTACATTGAAGAGGGATACAAATGGATAATAGTGTCGTGCTTTAGAATGATGGATCGTAGTTCAGGAAGAAACAGATTTGTAGTGAAAATGCAGCATTTTTAACAAATATGTTAGAATGCTTGCTGCAAATCAACATATTCATTAATAGCTGCCAAAGCCAAAATTTAAATTTTAAAATGGTAAATATGCCATACAAATATCCAGTCGTTTATTAACATTTAAAGAAACATGCAAATTATGTTTGTGTCATCAAAATTCCAGTCACATTGTTTTATTTTTCTTTTCAAAAGTGAATAAATATAATGGAAACATCAGAATATTTGAGCTTTCCTTTCTGATTCCTAAATTTTGCCAAGATTGCACTATTGGTTCTATGAATAAGAGAAAGCAATGCATGGGTGATCTGCCAAAAGGCTCCCTGGAGTACTTAATGTTTGCAGGTTTCGGCCCAACTGATAAGATAGGCTTATCGGTTGAGTATTCTGAGCCTTTTGTAGTATCTAACACCAGAATTGGGGCAGTTTCCAAATGGACTGGTTGCATAGTTTTCCAGGTTCTCTTCATTTAACACGTAAGTCGGGCCAGTTTTTCCAAAGAAAATCATCCACGAGGGATCCTCTCGGTAGATCACCCATGCGTTGCATTTCCTTACTCATCAAAACATTAATGCAATCTCGGCAAAACTTAGGAGCATATTTCAGGAATAGAATCTATTGTTCGCAATTTAAATTGGGGACCCCAAACCAATTTTCTATAAACTGAATACCGTAGTAAGAATATCGAAATTTAAATTGGGACCATATTTGGGGTCTCGAAATTGCCGAAGTGGCGCAGGGTGCACTGGTACAACTCAGAAGTAAATCGGCCAGAGGTCGTGTTAATTTAAAAACAAATGAAGATGCTAATGGATCCCCGAAGAAAACTGGTTGAAGTCAACATGGAGCCACTAATTCAAATATTCTGGGTCCCACAAAACATGCAACAATCATTCATATATTACAGGATTTTGCAAGCAAGTTTCAGATATCAGAACACGTGACTTAAAAAATGCTCATTGGTCTATTGATTTACATAACATAGCCATTTCGTTGTTTACCAAAAATTATGGTAAAGATGAGTGTTTTTAATGTACATTTTGAGCTCTGAAAACTTGATTCATAAATCCATCAAGTGTAATACAAGCCAGAAATGAAATGAGAGAAAAACAATGTCAGAAGTGGGGTTCGAACCCACGCCCTCATATGAGGACCAGATCTTAAGTCTGGCGCCTTAGACCACTCGGCCATTCTGACTACGTACCAAGTATTCTTAACCAGTCTCTAAATTGCTTTTATATGAGCAGAAAGAACATTAGTTTGGCTGTTGTTTAACAAAATTTCAAAGATTTGGCATTGTGAAATGAATATTAATTTGTAAATATATAGTGAAATACTAATGTTCTATCGCATTTCATTTTTTCATTTTTATGAAAATTGTATGGTTAATTAGTGGCGTGCCGTCCTCGTAAGCGGTGGAAGCGCCGCATGCCTTGTATTTTCTAAAATATACACACATATTGCGCGATTATTTTCATATTTGAACGTACTTTGAATTAATTAAAATTAATATTTTATTATAACCGCATTATGTATCTTATTACAAATTTCTATACTACGTGTGAAAAAATGATAACATTGCTATTGTATATTCGAATATCGGTAGCGGAATGGAAGCGCTGTATTGTCTAATACAGCTTCTATGGCGAAAATATTTGAATCGTGTAAAGTAGCCAGATTATAAGCATTTGAGCATGTATACAGAGACACAACCTCACGCGGTTTAGTTGGTGGATGCCACACACCAAAATATCGTATAACGCTTCCAATGATTCTATTCAGGACCGGTTCTGGGTCGTTTGCCACCTGCATGCTAGATATTTGGCCGCCCTCGCCCATTATGTAAATCGCCAGTAGATTTATAACTTACTACAACCGATAGGAGTTTACTGGTATGTTTTTACGATAGTTTTGTATAGTTGACACGAGTTCTAAAAAATTCATTAAAATATTTGATATATTTATTCCGCTCTTCCATTTTGGTATTACTTACAGATTTAAATGTTAAAGTAGTGATTTAGTATGTCTCATCTATAAGTGGATACAGAAAAGAACGAGTACAATTCTTGTATAATGTTAAAAAATTAACTGTTACTTTGGCAACATCATTTACAACCAAATTTAATGTTTAATTAGTACTCTTTGTTCTAAAAATGTCAGCAGAAATAGCAAAGTTTTTATGTACAGTAGGAGTCACGTGACTAGCTTTTATGCACCGATTGACCTGCGCAAAAGTTATCATATCATTATCCAAGGATTCACAATTGTTTCAAAACACCATTTTACAAGAAACAGTTGCATTTTTTTACGTTTGCTAAGATACTACTTATGTACTTCAATAACAACAGCGTTAAAGTATTTGTATCAATTTTAACCGCAGCTATTCTGCTAGGAGACATCTTTACCTATTCGTTTTACCTCGAAATTTGTAAACAAAACGTAGATTAACGTTTTAAATTCTTTATATTAAAAGCATTTAATATTAATACAGCATTCTATGACGTCATTATCATGAATTTTTCAACAAAGGTTTCTGCTTTATTGTTTTCCAATTGTTGCGATTGTTGTTGGAATGTTTAACTGCGCTCAAAAAGTTTCTTTGCGAAATTCGACTGATAAGATGGAGAATAAGAGGTAAATTCAATGGATAATTATGTTAATTTATCAGATTTGTTTAATATTAAATGAGAATTTCTTTCTAGTACGAGAAGAGTGGCCAAACATAATGTTCGGCAAAACAAAGTTTACCCATTTCAGGTAGACCATTGATTTTTCTCTAAGAAATTCAAAATGATCCTTTACTGGGATTATTTGATAATTTTAATTTTGATCTACCGCAGGATGACAAAGATTCGCCTGGGACGAAATGTGACTCCTGGAACAAAGGGGAGTCGTAGTTGCGAGCAAATAATCCGAAAGAAGGAAGAAGGTCTATCGGATATTTAAGACGTTTATTCCATAGATTCTTGTGATGTTGTTGCTGCATTTCAGTTGAGATTTCTGATTTGGAGGTAAGTTTTCATTCTTTCTGTCTTTTCTCGGTCAGCAAATTGCGTAAGTAATAATTTCTGTGATTTTGTAGATTTAAGAACCGGAGTGAAGAAAGAACCTTTAGTGGTTCGAGGAGATAACTACACTTTACTCCATTTGTACCGTCTGTATAACGAGACGTTTTTGGATATTAGCATAAAGTTTTGAACTTATAATACCTCACAATAATTAGAATGGTTGGAAGAGGTGTTATTTGCGCTATGTATAGCTGTTTTAATTACAAGATATAAAGTGATCGCGAGTCGTATTACCGACACCCTAAAGACAAACAAGTGTAAGTAAATTAATAATCAATTTGATTGTTTTCATTTATATCAACATTCTTTCTTTAAAATATTATCATTCAACCTATGTGTTTATATTAATTTTCAGATGAATTCAATGCGTTATTAATAGTAGAAGGACTGATTTAGACGAGATTTTGAAAACGAAAGGACAGAATATTTAAATAGAAATTATTTCAACCATTTTACAGTGAAATATTGTAGAAACAAAAATCTCTTAAGCCAAGGGTATATAAATTGTTTATTATTTGTTCACTTAATATAAATTAATGGTGTTCTTTACCTATTTTTTGTTTCACTCACCGAATTAGAAGTTTACGATCTAATATTAAACTTATCGCTAATTTTATTTAGTATCCTCTCACTGCAGTTGTTTAATAACTTGTTTTACATATGGTACAGGATCTGGACCGATGAAGAACCCTCACAATTAATTTATAATGCCGAACAGACCACGATGAGAACAGCCCCCAAAACAAGAAGACTAGAAGAACCTTCCAATGTAGATATGCCATATATCATGTTTTGATATACATGATATATTTATGTTCAATGTGTTTTATTTAATGTAAAAAATGTTTTATTTTAAAAAATTGTTTCAATTTAATAAAATTACATTAAAACCTCAGATTTTAATTTATAAAAATCTGACTCTTATTGTATTTGATTTGTTTTGTTGCTATTATTCCTTCTTTTAAATCACCATCCACTCAAGTTTCCTACTAAATAAAATCAAAATTAATGTTTTAAAAGAAATGATCGAATGAATTTCTAATGATAATATTAGCGTAATAATTCTCACAATTTAATGAAATATATATTTAATATTGAGATGTCGGGTCATTGGCAATTTCACGGCTTTCATTCAAGAAACGTCGGACTTTGTGAAAATGGGAGGCCACCATTGTGTTGGAACAAATAGAGTTTGCAGTTTTTTTCAAATTTGTGCCACTAAGAATTGCTGCAGCGCGGTGGCGCACTTGGGATTTTACCCTTGGGATAGTGAGTTGAACGGATAAAAAGATTTTTAATGCGAATTGAATGAAATTACTATATAATATGACCGCTAATTCATGAGTAGTATAGAAATAGAAGATACTGCAGAATATAAATATAAAAATGAATTTTAACTAGAGAAAGACTTTTGGAAATTTTTTTTACCGTTTGTTATTCTTTCTTTCAGCATGAAGCGAAGGCTCCTCGAAAATTTTGTTGCGCCTCTTCTATAGCAAGGGTTATTTTAGTTACGATGCGTTTAATAGAAAATAATCAAAGATTTTGTTTCTCTGAATAGCTCAAAACGAGTGTTCAATAATGTCGAAAGAATACTTTGTATATTATTCATTGTATATTATATTTCGTTTTTCGGAAAAATTCGGCAGAGTACATAAATTTCATTTTTATTTAAGTCCGTTTGCATTTGCACAGGGCGTACGATTTTGTCATTTGATGGCGAGGCAACTGCAATTTCTATAGTTTCATGGACAGCCATTTACAAGACACTTTTAACACGATTGTGTCGGGCAGCCGTAGCCGACGATTATCTCGTCTTGGGGACGTTTGAGGTCTGCGGGAACTTCTTGGTGCGTGAACTTCTGGTACTGCGATTCCGCCAACATTTTAAGGTCGTCTTGTACTCGCGCTCTTCCTTTTATTCACAGATGTCTCACACGTTGGGACATACAAATGTATTTATTCACATGGATGTCTCACACGTTTTTCTGTAATATATACAGTCGACCCCCCTGTAAGATATAGATACGTTCCAATTTATTAGGAATCCGATTTCTTACAAGTCGTTTCAATCACAGCCCGACACGTGTCAAGTTTACGGACTACGGCTGATTGAAAGATATTCTTCCATAAAATTAATCGATTCTACACTAATCCGACTCAACATTTCCAAAATACGTATATTTTTTCGTAGTTTTATAGGAATCGTAATTATAGGGACCGTAATTATAGGGGGGTCGACTGTAGTTCATTTCTATTAATTACGCAAATTTATTCCATTCATTTAGAGTCGTGCATTCATACTGAAGAAACATCGTTCATCCCCTGGAATTCAAAATATTCTTATTGATTTCTTTGTAAAGTAATTGCAATTGTAGTAATGCAGTTTAAATTCATTATGCAATTTAAATTGCATAATTAATTTACATAGTATTAGTAATGAGAAATAGAAATGCATATTACTATTTCGCAAATAATTTGGAAGATCGTAATACATTTTAAATTAATTATATAATTTTCAGACATGTGGTTTACTTTGTTTTGATTTTTATCACAAATTTACTCCAGGATTTTGTGATGTGTTTAAGATATAAAAGCATCAGAAACAATACTTTTCCCTTCTAAATATTTATTGTAAGACACTTTAACTTGCCAGCATTTTACTAGAGACTTTATAGTTTCAATTATGCATTCAAAAACTAAAAAAAATTATGTTCGTATTATCCGAACCATTTACATAGCTTTTTATACTTTGATACGCTTCTTGTCTTGTCTGGTCTTGGTATAGTTGTGAGCACTATGTCGTCTTTTTTTTATCTTTTCGCTAGACTTATTACACAGTCACCGGACCCGAGACCAGCCTTAGAGAATCTTTTTATTTTTCCTAAAAGAATGCATTTCGGACCTTAAGTCGCTCATCAGCTTTTTTTTATATAACTATATTGTAAGAGAAAAACATGCAAATTAGATTATGTTAACGTTAAAAAATTTAAGAATGTAATTCAACTTACATATTTATGAAATTGATACTATCACATTTACGAAATGTAAAATAAGTTCACGACGTTTGGTAAAACACCGATGACAAATCATTGATTACAGTTTAAATTTCCAGGTGTTTGTTACAATACTGACAGGATGTTAACGATTTTAAAATACTGCAAATAATACAAATGGTTTTGAACCTTACATTAAACCTGCTGATTCGATGCTTAGAGCAGTATAATTAAAACAAGCAGTAAAACAAAAAGTTCACGTAATGAAAGACACTGTTAAAACTACAGTATAAAATAATGAACTGATTCACTGTAAAAACAATAAAATGATAAAATGATTCGCTGTACATATAGGAATTGTCACCATTTTCCCCTTTTTATTTTCCCCAGTTCTATTATTCTTTTAATGTTAACAACCTCTTGATCTATTTTGGACATACTTAATTCTGCAAGAATTAGACCTATTATTGAACCCAAAGAGATACCATTATTTTGCCTATTACTTTTATTGCATACAAAGTAATTACAGTATTCTCTAAGTTGGTAGTATCAATTTCATAAATATGTAAGTTGATTTTGTTCACCCTGTTTGAAGCTTAACTTCTTCCTTTCCTAAAAATTAAACAATTTTAAGCTCCATAAAGTCAGTGTGCAATTTAAAAAGTTTATAACTTTATTAGTATTTGCGATAGAAAAAAAAAATGTAAAAAGCATTAAAAAGAGAAATGTGTTTAGTTTAAAGTGAAATTATTTATTAACTCTTCAACACAATACTTTATAACAATTTTTTCAACCTTTAATAATAGTTTATTTTTCACAATTACAGGTAGGTAACCCATGGTTTCAACAGAAGAAAAAGTAAACTGTGTTCTTTAATTGGCTGAACTGAAATCTACTGAAACATCAATCGTTAGAAGACTTAAAAGCTAAAATAACTAATGTGATTTCAGGCATTACAAATGTGAGGAAATGCAAAAATATTCTGGGGTTTCTTTTGTATGTATGGATGTTAGTGTATATCTGTTTGGGGGATATGTTTCATGTTTATTCTCTTTCAAACTTAATAATTTTTGCGATTTTTGTCAAAAATTTCTGAAATTTTGCAAGGGATTTCGTTTATTAGGAATACCGATGCGATTGATTTTTCATGGTATGGAGTCGACGGGTTGAGGAAATAAAGGATTTTCGTGTGTAATGTCTTGAGTAGGGACGGACTTAATGACAATTTTATTGGTTATTTTCATTTACAATTTTACAAAATCCTCAAAATTAAGTTGCTTTTTATTTTTAGTATAATAATATAAATATAAAAGTCATTTCTTTCTGTTACACGCTATGAAGTGGTGTAACTATCAATACATCTACGTTATATTACATTTAGTCCCACGACGCGTTTCGGTTATAAATCCCTTTTCCATTGGCTAGAAATATACAAATGTAAATAGTAGTGTTTACTTTATATTTTAAACCTCCTACATGTTCTTTTAATCGTACTTTTAATTTTTCTTTTAGTTTTCTTTATATATTAACTGTATAAGATCGTCCCATACAAATTGAATGTCAAGTGATTTCAATTATAATATTTTCCTTGGAAAGAAGTTACACAGATGACGGGCACGAATCCATTGTTAATGGAAACGTATGACATACAGCGGAAAGACACTACTGTACTAATTTTAGATGGAGAGGCATATTTTAAATTAAATTAAAAATACATTTAAAAAATTGCTGCTTCTCATGTTTAGTAAATATTCTACTTTTTATACTTTCTATAAGAAGGTGCTAGTTTTATACCAAATTTCTTAAATATTGTATTAATTTTTTTATACATTTTAAACTCTATCTCTCTTCTGTTTAATGTAATATCCAAATATTTGATTTAATTGAACATTTGCACTGTATATATATATAAACGAATTTAAATTAATAATATAAAAGATCGTAACAAAACGATAAAACTTGAAACAAATAACGAAGACAATAAAGGATATTATAATGCAATATTCTTTATTTTACGTTTATTCATTGTAACATTAACAGAGACCATTCTTTAGTACAAATTAATGCGTTTTCTCTATTTTGTTCTACTTGCAGGTGTTATTATTTGGGTCAAAGACTTTGGCATCAGATGGAAAACCTACACAATAACATGCCAGACTGAAAAAATAGCAATGGCCTCTCTTTGCTTTCCTTGACTTGCACTGGCTATCACAATAACTGCTGTTTAAAAAGCAACTAATTCTGCAACCATTGCTTTGAAGTGGGTAGCCATCTTTACTTTCTACGACTACATCTGCAAAAACGTAAATGCACAAATTAGTTTAGCCAATAACTTTCAATATGTCTGTACGAATCAATAACCTAAGCGCGCATGTAAATAACGACCAGTTGCTTAACTTTCCCAGCAACTTTCCGTGGCTCCATCTGTTAGAAAATTTTTAAAAATGAAACATGATATTTTTAACGATTATAAAATGCAAAAAGTCTAATTTATGGGGTAGTGATGAGCTATATAAAAAAATTGTAAATAATAATAATAACGAGTAAAATCGTCATTAATCTTATGCTACTGGCGATACACATGATCTTTTAAGGGCGAGTGGGTGAAAACTAATTCTCCAGAATTTAATAGTGTCTATCCCCTTAATACACAAACCTCCATGTAAACTTTCAGAAAATAGTACAAGAGTTATTCAGCTTCGAACAGGGTGAACAAAATCGTGCCCCAACCCACACACATAAACATCTATACAAAAAAAAAAGTTGTTTACATTTTTCGATGGTTCAAGGTGCTCTAAGTCGAAAATGTAGAAAGTTTGAGAGTTCATTTTTTACCGATGGCCATACTTTCCCTCTGTTCTCTATAACACACAAGAAAGTAATAAATAAGTCGA